GAACCCGCCACCTTAGGTGTATGTGGCTGGCACCCTAGCCGCTTGAGCCACAGGCGCCGAGCCAAGAAAATAATTTTTAGAAGATGATCTACTCCCTTGAGTCAGTGGTTACAGATGACTGGATATTAGTCAATGTTAAACTTTCCAAGTCACCATCTGAGAGTATACTGAGTACTCTCAAGATACTTAATATACATTAAAATCAGTCTTTGAGTTAAAACACAAGTGAGATACACCTGCATTGAAAGCCTGAACAGTCTTTAGTGTGATGATCCCAAATCAGGACATACAAATGGTGATTCCACACAGAGAAGTACAGTCACACACAACACACTTTTTGAAACATCCTGGAACAGTCAATATAGCCCTATGATGCATACCTTCAGCATCCCGAGTATCACTGCCAGGATTTCTAGTGGTGTCAAAGAAAGACCAGCAACCATCTTGTATTCACAGTTCTAATATTCTAAAATTGCCATGATTTAGAAATTTTCCAGGCCAAGAATTAAACAAGACAGATTATTTTCAGAACTCTAACTTTCTAGGAAAAGGTTAACCTTTCCTATTGAAAATAAAACTATTAACCCACCAACAGGTTAACCAATCCACTCCCTTCTAGGCCCTTTCTGAATAGTAAGTCAACTTTTCAAGACAGCAACTTGGGGGTAAGAAAACAAAGTCTGACCACTGACACACTAAGTGAGAAACCTTTGTTCTTGTCTTCGTTAGCAAGTATTTTATTCTAGGGGACTTGCCAGAGAGACAAAAACACTACCACCTCCAGTAGCACCACCATACCAATATTTTTTAAAAATCAAAACCAAAAAAACACAAAACAAGGGCAAAGAAAAAATACGCATAAAAAGTGTTGAATATTTATGTTTTTTCTACCTTACTCTACCTCCCTCAATATCGAGAAGAAAATTTTAATATAAGTAATATAATCATGATTCATCACATAGAAGAAAAATTGAGGATCAGAGATGAAATTTTTGCAAAGTCATGCTTTCAAGTAAGATTCAAAATCTAGTTTTAAGTTCAAAGCTCTTGGTGTCTTCATTCTATCAGGCTGCTTCTACCACAAAAGGTGCGTGGATACAGTTGCTGAACAAGAAACACAACAGAATACAATCAAAATTACTTCTTTTGTACATGGATATCTTCCTAATGAGTTTTGAGGATATATAAAGTATCAACAGATAAAATGTACTATACTGTGTATGGTCAGTAAGTAAAGCTTTTTTTTTTTTTTCCCCTTAAGGTTTAAAGAACCCCATAATATTACTTAATAATTTCATATGATTTTTATGTGTAGTTGAGGCAAATCAATGCAGGGCATATTATTAGAAAAAATCCTAATAGTAGCCAATATTTTTTAAAGCAAAAGTTTAATACTTACAATTTTTTTACATGCTCTGCTTGTGATAGACAATCTTTCAACAAGAGTAATTTTATGAGATTTTTGTAAGTTTTAGGGTTAAACACAACATTTTGCTCTTTTGCTTTCAGGAAAATATTAAATGCATCTATAAGAGAAAAAAAAAGTGAGATGATATTATTCTGAAATGGCAAAAGGGAGGGAAACATCCTTTTAAAAAGCCCTAACCCCCAGGTATATTTGTTTATTGATACCCACCCCATTAGAACTTTAGGGAGATATGCAGTGACCCAGCAAGTAGATGATGTCACTCTTCAAATCTCTAAAGGATACAGTTACAGTGTCGGAAACTACTACTTTCTCCAAATGGATAGTACCCGAAAGAGTTTTCTTTTAAAATTATTTTTCAGAGTAGCTTTCTTAAGTCAGCAAATTATTTTTAAGCCAATAAAAATAAGAAACAGCTCTTCAGAATTTCTCAAAAGATATACCAGTTTGAAAATAAACTGCCAAATGTGTGTTAAAGTCCAAATAAACCAGAGGTATAATTTAGATTGAGGGGAGCCAAAGCCTCACTTTGAAGCAATCTTTAATCTATAAGTGGGTGGTTACAATGGTTAACATTTCAGCACAACAGCATTAAAGTGAATATAGCCTATAATTCTAAAATTAGGAGATCACATTATTTGGCTACGACAGGACTTATACAAAAACATACAATTTTCAAATATACAGATATCTAACAAGTAAACTAAGCAACATTTGTTTGACTGATTAACAGTTTTATTTCACTTGTTCACAATAACTGTCAGTGAATGAAAAGATGTTACCAAAAGAGTAGTAGCTACACTTTTCAGTCACTTACTTTTCTGAAATAAAATTGCCTGGCTATGAACAGCCAACTGAAACTATAATCTCCTCTCTGTGTGTGTAAACAAATCACAATGAAAACGGGGCATAACTGAACCACCAGGTACGGCCTTCTGTGACAACAGGGCTCAACATAAGGAAATACAGAAGGCGTAACTAGTAATGAACGTGACACGCATGTTCAGAAGAACATTCTGAGCTACCTTAGAAGTTTCTGAACAAGCAGAAGCTGATAAGCATTTGTGTGTAAGTAAGGGGAGGTTTGCATTAGCCCCTCAAATGGAAGTGGCAGCATCAATACTTATTTATTCCATCGATCTAAATTCAGAGAAAAAGAGAGAAAAGTCATGACAACATTTATACAATGCATCTTAACTAAGGAGAAGAGTTTGGGCAAGTAAAAGTAACGGTGGCACAAACCGATAACTTTTCAAAGTCTTTCAAAAAAACATTCCTTGTTAGTCACTAAATCACCATGTGCCTTGTACCAGATTTCAATTTGTGAACACCTATATGTTCTAGGGCACTGGCAAAAAGTAGAAAATAAGAGCAAACAAACGAGCAAGAAGGAATTCCACTATGATATACTGATTACTCCACTGGATACTACTCTAGCTTATATATTTTACTTTTTTGAAATGAAAGCAAATGATGAAGTCACATCTTCATTTGAGTACTGGTACCAGTTTATCACAAATTTAAGAACAAAGTTTTATTTGCTACTGAAGTCACAGAATCGTTTTGCTAAATAAAGTATCTTAAATGACATACAACATGACTCAGAATCCGTCACTTGGTACACTATACATTTATTTTCTTTATTAGGGGACTAAGAAGTTACAATGTAATGCAATTATGGTCTACTTCCTAACAATCTTATGTAATAGTCCATTGGTTGGTTGGATGAGGCTATAAAATACTCCCTGAATATTTAAAACCAAAAACATAAATCTAGAAAATCTTACTAGTTGTTTTCTTTTTTTTTTTTTTTTTTTTGAGAAAGAGCCTCAAGCTATCCCCCTGGGTAGAGTGCCATGGCATCACAGCTCACAGCAACCTCCAACTCCTGGGCTCAAGCGAGTCTCCTGCCTCAGCCTCCCAAGTAGCTGGGACTACAGGCGCCTGCCACAACGCCCGGCCATTTTTTTGATTGCCATCATTGTTGTTTGGCGGGCCCAGGCTGGGGATTCGAACCCGCCACCTTAGGTGTATGTGGCTGGCGCCCTAGCAGCTTGAGCCACAGGCGCCGAGCCCTAGTTGTTTTCTAAAATTGTCATGTTCGGGCCAGGTGTGGTGGCTCATGCCTGTAATCCCAGCACTCTGGGAGGCTGAGGTGGATGGACTGCCTGATCTCACAGGTTTGAGACCAGCCTGAGCCAGAGACCTCATCTCTAAAAATAGCCAGGTGTTGTGGTGGACGCCTATAGCCCCACCTACTCAGGAGGCTGAGGCAAGAGAATTGCTTGAGCCCAAGAGTATGAGGTTGCTGTAAGCTATGACAACAGCAGAGCACTCTATAGAATGAGACCCTATCTTCCCTCCACCCACAAAATATAATGAACCCAACCTCCCATATATAAAGATCCATCACCAATAATTAGCAATTGACATTCTGCCAGATTAGCTTTTTTTGTTTTTAAGGGTTTAAGTATTTTAAATTATAGAAATTTTGGTTTTTTTCATTCCTCAATAATTTATATGGATATCAAATTTATAAATATTTTCCTATGAATCATAACACCATCCTAATATCTAATAAAAGTTAAGAGTAATTCCTTAATATTACCTACGGCTCAGTTGACAGTTAAATTTTTCCAATTGCCCACAAATGTCTTTGTTAACTTAATGTATGAAAGAGAGTAACTGACGTATAAAACTGAAGTCTGATCTCCTTCCTGCAGCGCTGCCACCTTGTTGGGCTTAGCTCCCACCCACGCCCCGTAAGTTAGACAGGTGCCCCACAGCATGTTTACCTCTGTTTCTCTTCCAATGGCAGGCATTCAACAGATCTTTATGGAGATCATTTTCTACAGGCAAAGCTGAAGGCAAATTCTGGACACTTGTTTCATCTTCATACCATAACTTTAAAACAAAAAGTATTCAGTTAACTAAAAAGCGGTAAATAAAGTGATCTTTTCAGTAAAAAAGTCAGCTAATCTAGGACATAATTATACTGACAATAAAATCTGTTTATACTTATGCCAAAAACAAATTACCTCAGGTACATCAAATGGAACTTCCTGATTACTACTTCTTAGGATTTCCGCTAATAATCTTAGTGTCTTCTCACGAGGAATAACATTTTCTTCTTGCATTTTATTCCAGACAGCATCAGCTCTTTGCCAGTCACCATTTATTTCTGTAGAATTTGATGAAGCAGAATTTAACAAATATACTAAGAAGGATCCATGAAAATATATAGCATTTTTTCTTACTTGATGGTAAAGAAAGCATTATTCCAAATGCTGCCCTCAGTGAATAGAATAAAAAGTAACTGTGATCCAAAGATGTGACATCTTTCTGTATCCTCTAAATTATAAACCAGAAATACGGTACCTCTTAAAATGCAGTAACGGCTCTGCCTTTATTAAATACTTTGAAACAAGTAGATAAAATGTTTGTCTTTTTAAAAATCAACTGAGAAATTATCCACTGCCAAAATCAAAATCAGAAATACACAAATAAACTATGCCTTTCAATCTTTGCAAAGATGATGGATATATGTACACCGTGTAGTACAAAGCTGTGGCTCTAATATGACTTAAAGTATTCAAAATACATCATTCTCTTTAAAAACGACAGATCTATAAACCCTTACCACTTAGTTGAAAAGAGAGAACTGTCTATTTCTCTTCTGTTGAAGAACTATTCTGTGATAGTGTGTGAGGGACATTAGATTTCTTATCTCAACAGATAATGCTATTAGATTAAGTATTACGGGGACCAAGAAGTCTGTTACAAAGGAATTAGGCAAAAATCTTTCTTATTAAAAAACAAAATAAAACCAGTTCTTTCTATCTGGTAATCGAGTCACTATATATAGCAAAAATTTGAGAACCAAGTCTCTATTTTCAGACATTTCCATGGGTGAAAAGAGTAAAGGTCATTGAACTTAGTAAACTGATTTCTGCTTGGGAAAACTAGAGCAAGATATGAAAAACGTCTTATGACATTAAGTTCAATACAATCATGAAATGAAAAGAAAAACTTCTTTAGCTTTCTTTTAGAAATTTGCAAATATGGCCAGGTCCAGTAGTTCATGCCTGTGATTCCAGCACTCTGGAGAGGCTGAGGCTAGAGGATCACTTGAGCTCAGGAATTTGAGACCAGCCTGAGCAAGAACAAGACCCCATTTCTACAGAAAAATTTTAGAAACAGAAATTAGAAATAGAAAAATTAGTGGAGCATTGGGACAAGTACCTGCAGTCCCAGCTACTCAGGAGGCTGAGGCAGGAGGATCGCTTGAACCCTGTAGTCTCTAGTCTCAAGTTGCTGTGAGATAAGTTGACACCACAGCACACTAGACTGGGCAACAGAGTGAGATTTTTTTTTCACAGAAAATGGATAAAAATTGCAAATGTGTAAGAAAGATCTAGATTTGTCTGTGGTAGTTCTAGGAAAGAGGGTTTTACAGTACAACTATTCCAGAAAACACAAATAAATTTGATCCTCGCCATTTTAGAGAAAAAGTACCAAAATAAAGCAAGTGGGATTTTCCTAGTTCCCGCCCCACCCATAAACACAAAATTTTTAAATAACTGACTCCAAAAGTAAATAATCAGAGAACAAAATCCAAAAATATTCATACTCCACCAGAAATCAGCAATAAAGAAAAAGTAAAAATGAGTAGGAAAATTCCTCTGGGTCATACAGAGACGGTAGTCTGAACTTTCAACGGACGATAGCAGAATTAACCTAATGTTCAGAGTGATTTCATACATACTTTGATAATAAAATCAGTCTCAGTAATATAAAACCCTTACACTTATAGCTGATTTTCAAAACTAAAACTCTCACGAGCTGTAATAATTATGCTTTCCTTCATCAGAATGTTCTAGAACA